TTGTCCTCCGCCCTGAAGAATATATTCTGATTTACATGGCCAATCCATTTCGGTTTTCTAGTGCCTGGTGTAATATCTTCACTTTAAGTCTAATAACTATCTGAGATTATAATAATAAAGTCGACTATACTATATAATACAATGTAGCTATATAACTAAGTCACGTATTAATCTGAACTAAAGATCACGCATCGTGTTGCGTTAAAACACGAATATAAAGGCACATTAGAGTATAGACTTCACCCATCGCTCCATACTTCCTTGTGGTGTGCTTGGCTCGTGAGAGGATTTGTATGATCGTTTGCTAAAAGGTACCAGGGTTAGTAATCATAATCGGCTAACAGACTGAACAGAAGAAATGAAATCTGTGGGTTTTATTACCCTTGTTCAATAGAAGAGTTTCTAAATGATTTTGAAATCTCGCTAATTCTCGTTTTTTCATGAGATCTTAAGAGATTTGCACATTTTACCTCTAATGACTTGCTTTTCTTTCTTTTTAATAGCATATTTGAATTCAGTGATATGTTTTCTACAATAATAGCTTTGATTTACACATTTATGTCATTTAAATCATTCTCCTTGACTTTTAAAAAAAACTTGGGCCAAATCCCCATTGATGTCATGCTAAAATTCTTAAAAACCATGGTTAAATCGTATGACAACCAACATTTTCATGTTTAATCACAATATGTACATTGACAGAGTCATTTAATAGTATGCCATTCAAATTTCAGACAGATTTAACTAACACTCTTTGATAAATCATGAGATTAAGTGACTATTGCAAGCTTTTAGCATAGAACTCAATGGAAGGTTGGCCAAAGATGAACAAAGGTGACATCTATTATGTCAGATTTATTGAGCTATTTAGAAACTATATTATACGAGACTTATCAGCGAAGAGTATTGGGAGCAAATATGCTATCATATAAAGTGTTCTTAAAATGACACACTCTTTTTGGCACTTTAAGAGTTGTGACTTTGTACCTTCCCCAAGGTCGGTAGTGCAGTTCTGTATGAAAGTATGAGATGCTTTCAATGTCTTAGCTAATAAAAGAAATATACAATTTATGTAAATTAAAGGTTGGTGGTGTTGCCATATGTGTGTATAGTAAATGAACATAAATATAAATACAAATATGCGAGTAAAACTAAAATGTATTGGCTGCTTAAGAGATATAATCGTATGTTGCAAAAACGTCAGTCTGCCGCGTTGACGTTCCAACTACCAATCAACAAAATGTACCTGAAAGCAGATTTTCCTTATCAAGAAATGACAGAATGACCAACCTATAATTAATCATATGATAATGGTAGGACAACATGAATGCATGCTAGAATAAATGGATTAAGAAAATAACATTGAATTATGATTAATATTGATTTGTGATATACGAAATGTATATAATAATATTGAAAGAATTACCAACCTGTAAAGGCGCTGTTCGATTCCTTGAAGTTTCTGATCCAATCCATTTGTGTAACTCCCGTCCAAGCGCATGATATGCCTCAATATGCTCCTCGGTTCATTTGCACCAGCCACAAGTGCAACAAACAATAAAACTAAACAGGTATACGTTTTCATAGCAGATATATATTAATAAAATGAACACATTCTCTTTTGTAACTGAATAACTAATTGAGCAACGAAAGTCGAAAGTTTTAAAGTCCACTTTTAATAAGATATTGATGGCGTAATTTGTCTTAAGGTTACAATATTCTATTTTGGATTTGGCCTGCTTAAGGAAGTAGGAATTAGAGACCAAGACTGTTAGAAATCTTATGGAGGCACTGAAGGCGTTTTTGACCTAAAGTTACCAAGATGTAAAATCGCGAAAATGTCATGGGTGAACTCCTGTCATTTTGAAGATGATTTTGAAAAAAATTGAATTTGAAGCAATTTTAAATATATTAACATTACTATCGATCAGAAATATCGATTTTTAACACCATTCGCGCACCATTGACGTTTAACCGTGAAAAGTTCCAAATAACCGATCTGAAAAATTGACATTTTTATATTTTGAAGGGGACTGTTGGGTGGTCAACAACAAAATGTCACATCTCAAATCAAATATCAGACATGAACTCCTGGCAACTAAGGAAGACTTATTCAACCTGAAGCAAGTCACAATTTCACCATGACGAAAATAGAAGATGACCTTGATCGTTGTCGTTAAACATTGATGCAAGTTACACTTTGCGTGTAAATGACTTAATTATGATTGCAACCATGTAGATACACTTATTTAATAGTTTTATTCCTTTAAAGGGACCGAAAACTATGCCATTGAAAAAAAGAAATAAAATATGCTTCCCCCAACTTTAACCGACCTTTCTTCTCAAAGAGTAAAAGACATGAATTACGTTAGTTTATATTTATTTTAAGAGTCTTATAATCTAAACATATATAATTTGCAATTTGTTATTTTGATCCATCGGGGAGGTTAACTTCCGTGGTTACTGTCGCTGCAGTCGTCGTTGTCTTTGCCGTCGTCTTCGTCTTCGTAAACATTCAGGCCTGTTCAAACTGTCAGGGGAAATATTAGACAAACTTCCTTGCTGAAAAATACCTACTTTTGCTTGATTGAATTGAGCATTTTTTATCATAAAATCATACTCAGTGTTTAACGTAATCTTTAGGTTAATGTAGATTATCTTGCTTCCCTCTTACCTTTTGATGTTCTGCTTCCTTGTTCGTTATTGGTAAATTCTACTGCCTTGCAGCCCCATTTATAAAGCCCAGAAATTGTGAAAGTCAGACTCTTGAAAATAATGATTGAATTGTACTTTTACCTTTTTTGTATCATTTGATATTAAAACATGTAACTCAAATTTTATTACTTGCAACGAATAAGATCACACAAATGAGCTAGTATTTATTGCCCATGCAGCAAATGAAGAATATCTATTAAATTTAAAGTAGCAAATTAACCACAGAAAACACAGATGATCAAAAGTGCATATATGTAGAAGAAAAAAAATGACTGCAGAGTTTATATGATTTGTTTCATTTTTAAAACTGTCAACTCCCCAAAATGTGTATACGTACATCTAGAAGTAGTCAATGGGCCCTTGCATTGTTCACATATATAATTCGGGTGTGCTTATGTACATCTTTTAAAAGTAAAACAACTTATAAATCATTAATTCCCCCTAACCTTCATAATATAAGCCATTTTGATATGTATATTTGGAAAGGTTGAGGATATTTATCTAAAACAATGTTTTCATATGCTGCCTCCAATCTTATCACCATTGCATATACATAAGACTTTAATGCCTGTTTTAAAAGAATATTCCTCACTAAACAGCCTCTTCAAGAATGTAGCCATTGGTCAGAATAAAAAAAGTGCATGCAGTTATATAAAAAGTTCTGCATTACACTGAATATTATAGTTATAACGTGGTGCGTGTTTTAGAAAGTAAACGACAGAAGGAATAAAACAAATGTACCCCATGCAGACGGATCGCCTAAATCACATTGTCATTCCAATCACCGTTATTCCTTTTCGAACGAGTTACCTTGAAATATCAAGACGGCATGCTATTCTCATACTTATAGAACTCAATACGATTGTCATTCATCATTTATTAAGCAGGAAAAAATTAATTTGCATCATGGGTGACAAAATGTTTCTACTTTCCTGGTGAATGTCTCGCATCATATGTAAGTTGCCCCTCATTTATTCCCATTTCGCCCCTACCCAATAACGCAGATGCGAGTAGGTAGTTTCCATATTCATCTACAGGTGGCTCGCTCGGGTCAGATAGCATGGCGGGTATAGTAGAAAGTTCCCTTTAACTTAAATTAAATTTGCGTGGTTCAATTTTCATATAACCCTTATGTATCTAATAGTTATGCAAATTAAAATATGTCGAGTAATAGAAAATGTTATCTGTCCAATACAAGAAAAGATAATTCACTTTTTGTGATTTTGTAACATGGGGTCTATGGGGAACAAGAAGTCACATTTTCAAAAAAAAAATTAAATTTTCAAAGTTGATAGACAATTTTCGAAACCATACTTCTAGATGTACTTTTACATGCATATTCCAAATATGACATCGCTTTGACTGAATTTTGAATGACGTAAATCAAGACTATTTCTACTCGCATCTAGTCCATTGGCCCCTGTCCCATTTCGCCCCTCGTTCATTCATATTTCGCCCCTTCCCAAAATGGAGAATGGCGAAATGGGAAGGGGCCAATTGGGAAGGGGCAAAATGGGAATAAATGAGGGACAAAATGGGAAGGGGCGAGATGGGAAGGGATTAAATGGGGAAGGGGCAAAATGGGACTGAATGAGGGCAAAATGGGAAGGGCCGAAATGGGAAAGGGGTGAAATGGGAAGTGGCGAATTGGAGAAGGGGCCGCGAAATGGAGAAGGGGCGACATGGGAAGGGGCGAAATGGGAAGGGGCGATAAGGGAAAGGGGCGATATGGGAAGGGGGCAACACGGGAAAGGGGTGAAACGGGAAAGGGGGGAAATGGGAAAGGGGCCAATTGGGAAGGGGCGAAATGGGAATAAATGAGGAGCAAAATGGGAAGGGGCGAAATGGGAATAAACCGGAAAAATCATTTAGTTGAATTTGTATGTAAACATATTACACTTTGGCTAGCGAGCAGCCATTTTTGAAAATGGTAGTCATTTTTATGTGTGTTATTTTACGATTTTTGCTTCAACTGAAAAGTAGTATGGGTTCATGTACTCCTCTCTATAAAATTTGAGGTACTAGATATAGTAGAGTTCTTTGTGAATGATTTATTGAAAAACTACTCATCGATATTTGAGACCGAATAAATATTAATTTTTCGTAAAAGGACCAACATTAACTGAAAGTTTTGAAAACATTTTATGAACAGGTCGGCCATTGATTGTCTAGAATTCACTATCAATTTGGAGAACTTGTTTATTCGTTGCTATACACTGCATTGACGGTTTCATCAAACTCATCCGGTATCGCCCACGTAACCAATCCACACGATGTCGGATTGTCGCCCAAGTAGGTGTACGATCGTATTGGCCTTTCCTGGATGTAGTACGATATGTTTGTCCTGAATATAAATGGTTCACCCCAAACCGTCCAAGCAAATTCAAACCCACTGCCAAGCATGTATGTTCCTTTCCAGTCTCTGGTTTCGTAAGTTTTGCTATAACAAATTTAACAGAATTTATTAACGGGATTGTGTTAAAATGGAAGTGTAATGCTATGATGAAAACAGTGAAATATTTCCTATTTTCATATTTTTGTCAAACATTCACAAAACCCCATCGAATACGGTGTTGGTTAACGATTTTTTTCTTCATATTGCTCAAAAGGTGGCTGATATTTAAAAATGCAGACCAGTCGTTTTCAGTAGAGGTTAAGAACATGACTTACTTAATATGTGTATTGAATATGAGTACATAAAATGATTATTCGGAATAACTGACTAATTTGTCATATTATTTTTTATCACGTTCTGGTGGGAGTTTGGAAAGTTAGAATGTCCGAACCTTCCATTCATCCATTCGGATTCCCATTCAAGCGTTCCCGAGGTGAAGACTGCCTGCGAGAGATGAGGTAGTCTCACTATCTTGTCATATTGAAATTCAAGATGCACTCGCCTAGCATCCATAAAGCATGTCTGACCAAATCCTTTGTATACCAATACAGGGGCAAAAAGTGAGTCATCTGGAAATGTTGGATTTGATCGGCAGTAAGTAACAGATTTTGTTAAAACACACATTTATTTCATTTTCTTAAATAAACTTTAAATTTTAACGTTTCTTGAGATTTTTTCCAATTTATTAAAATACGTCTCACTGTATATTGCCTTATTTGGGTCTCCCTCAATTTATTTAATGGTCTAAACTGTTTGGTTAAACAAATCGAAAACTTTCTAGTTCCCGGAAAAGACCAGTGGAAACCTTTGGGTAGACGTTGTCATTACCGGATGCCCAAACGTGGCAGGAACACGTACATAGATACTCGAGTGATGTTGATTGGACATCAGTGTGCAGATAAATCGTAATTTTACTGAGTGGCTTTACATTATGTAAAGGCCCGGTCACACCGCCTAAACGTTGCTGGAGCGTTCCTTGAACGTTGAAAAAAATCATCAACGCTCGTAAACGTTCACCACCGTTTAACAAAAGTTGGCATCCGTTAAAGCAACGCTGTAAACGCTCGGCCAACGCGGATGTTTCTCGAGTGGCCATCCTAACGCTCCAAAAGTTTTGAGCTGCTCAAAATATTGCGAGCGTTGAAAAAGGGACAATTTTACGCTCTGGCAAAGTTTATCAACGCTCCACCAACGCCCAGTCAAAGTTTGGCACCGCTAGACGCAAGTTCGTGGACGCTTGAATCCGCTAGACCAACGCAGAAATCTTAAACGCTGGACCACCGCTGCTTCGCCAGCGTTGCCCGGGCGGCGATTAAACGTTGCACAAACGTCGATGGAGCGGTTGTTAGCGTTTTATCAGCGTACATGGGGTTGTTGGAACGGTGTCGGACGTTGTCGCAGCGTTCCATGGCGGCGATGAACTTTGCTTTGGCGTTGGTATAGAGGTGTCGGAGCGGAACCTGAATTTGGCTATAAATACGTGGAGAAATGCAGGATCGGTGAACTGGCAGGATAGAATGGTGACTGGCTATCAACTGAACACTGTGTAGAACACTGTGGAGACACTTGTGCATTTTACATTTGATATATATTCATGTCTGGCATTTCAATTTTTTGCATTGTAAATTCCTTAATTAGCGCTCATCAAAGTTTGTGATTTTGGATTTTAAAAAGGTGAATTATGCGATTTTTGTTTTTCATTAAATGTTAATACAAATAGACTTTTACTGAGACCTTTATTCAATTACAGTATATATAGTGTTTTCACGTCAAGCAATTCAATAAATTATCTGTGAATTTTCTGCGCAGCTTGTAAAATGTTGCACTCGTCATGGTCACAAAAAGTTGATGCGCGCACAGCAATGCAAAAAATTGTCATGCGTCATGATTATTACTTTGCTGTAAATGTTATTTGACATTGCTAAAGCAATTTGAACGTAAATCGGTTCCAAGTAATGGAAATGCAACGATTAAATTGTGATATGTTTGTTTGAAATGATATGAAAGATTATTAAAGAAAATTGTAATGTTATTCATTCCGTTCAGCTCAGTAGTCAAACGCGATATGCTGCTAAACCAACGCTGCTGCTATTTATACCCCCGCCGAGGCAACGCTCTCATGCGCAGAACGCCGCTATACCAACGCTCGCATTACCGCTAAACAAACGCTAGCTACCGCTCGCAACCGCTAAGCCAACGCCCGTGTTTTTGTTTTTTTTTCCCCATTTTGTGCGCGTTGACGAGCGTTGATAAATTTTTTTCAACGTTCAAGGAACGCTCCAGCAACGTCCGGGGGGTATGACCGGGCCTTAACTGTATTTATGGAGCAAAATGATAATAAATGATAATGAAATGATAAGTTTGTAATGCTTCCTCGATAAATTCAGGGGGGTACATAAATATCAGAGTATATTCTGTTACTCTTTTGAGACTCACCACAAACGTCGTCCCGTTCATCGCTTCCATCTGCGCAATCGACGTGACCATCGCAAACCTAAAACATGTACGCACAGTACATATCAAATCATTTCCATACGCCAACCACGTCAGAGGTACAGAGTCGTTCCCTGTTCCAGATCGTGAACGACTACCTTGGGGTACTAAGCTTGTATTTGCGAATGCATATAACGGCTAGCGGCTACCTGATTAACGTACTAGTTTATGGGCAATTCGTTTAAATATGAATAGTACCTGCCGCTATTTAATTCATATTGAAATGAGTTGGTCATAAAATAAAATGTTAATCCGGTAGCCGGTAGCCGTCATTTGCATTCGCGACTACAAGCTTAGTTTTAGCATGTTTAATGTACGTTTTCGATTCGATGGCATTATATGTGTCAAGCAATGATTAATCAATTATATTGAATCATTGTTCCCGTTATACTACAGTAGTATAACTATACTTAATTTTTCTTTGGTTAAATATATTTATAAACTTAAAGGCAATTAAATTAATGATGTACCAGCATTTCATGTATGCATTCGCCAGACTCTAGACAGCGAAGAAGATTCCTTCCTTTGTCGCATTTATTTGCTAAAATTAACCTTAATCATTTTTTTAAAATCAATTTTTTAAAATCGAGTACAAATTCAGTACATAATTCTTATATATTGAAAATGGTCTTCAAGAGATGGCCCCCATCTTAGTACAATTGTCCGGATCAGTATAAAAATAAAAGGAAATAGATTTAATTAGGTTCATGGAAGAACAATGTAAAATAACATACTCATCTTGTACACGATCTCCGTATTGGTCTTTGCATGTTTACTATACATCATCAGCCGTTAAAAATTCACTTCACGCGCCTGTGAGATTTTCTTAAACTTGTCTTCCGCCCTGAACAATATATTCGTAATGGTCAATCCATTTCGGTTTTCTAGTGTGTGTTTGCCAATTGGGTATATGTCTAATAATCAACGTTGTATCCTGCAATTGATATTGCGGCAGATATTCTGAGAATGCTAGACTATATCTACAGTCGACTATACTATATAATATCAATCTAAAGTCACGTATTAATCTGAACTTAAAGATCATGCATCGTGTTGCGTTAAAACACGAATATAAAGGCACATTGGAGTATAGACTTCACCCATCTCTCCATACTTTCTCATTTATTTGTTCAACTCAGAAAGTACCCAATTTGTATGAATAAAAATGTTTAAATTTTAATTCAGTGACATCTGAAATTTCTGACTTTTTACAGCAACCTAAAATGAAGACATAAGCCTAAGTCGCACCTGCTCTATGGCGGGTGCACGGCCGCCGTATATTCACAAAATCGATATAGAAAATCTACATCACACTGCTTATTCCTATATTTTACGCTGCGCATTTCTATCGATTTTGAAAAGCAACGGCGCCATACGGTTGTGAAACCACCGTCCATGCGCATATGCCTCCATCTGCTTCTCGGTTCATTTGCTTCAGCAACAATTTCAACAAACACAAAAACTAAACAGATATACGTATTCATAGCAGATGTATGTTAATGAAATGTACACATTGTCTTTTACTGGATAACTAACTGTCAGCAACGAAAGTTTCAAAGTCCATGGTTTAATGAGAAACTGATGACGTAATTTGTGTTAGGTTACAATATTTATTTAATGTTTGATTCGTCCTCGAGGAGGATTGTAAGCCATTATTCAAACTCGAAACCCGTTGCCTGAAGTGGAACGATTTAGCTAAACAAGATTTCTTTAAAGTTCTACGGGCTAAGTATTTCGTTGGAAGAAGGACATCACGAATATTATGCTTAAGCTTCCTTGGCAGTTCTAGTCTTCAAAATGTGAGTAAAATTATTACCAAATTGTTCCACGCCAGGCAATGGAGTATCGAGTTTGAAGTTTAAAAAATTGTCAAATTAATAACTAAGATCGATCGAGACTGCCAGCAATCAAATGGAGGCAGCGTAAAGGGTAAAATTGGGAAAATGTCAATTGTAAACTCCTTTCAATTTGAAGAAGATTTTGAAAAAAAAGATTTTACTCAATTTGAATCAGTTTTAAATATGCTGCGAAATGCAATTACTCCTTCAGTCATATATATTTGGGTATCAGCACTTGACAACGGCCATTACTGCTGGTGACATAAGAAAGTGTTGCGGATCATTTCAGTGGGTTGAAACCAAATGGTCAGAGGTTAACATGAAAAGAAACGAATGACGAAATGACAAATGAACAACATCCCCAGAAGACTACCTAGTAGTCATCTCAATTTTCAAGTAGAAATTGATCAGTTCCACGGCAGGGGTACGATATCACAGCGGAAGGCAATTTCCACGTATGACCAGGACTATAGGAACATACTGAAGCGATGCTCATTTGATGAGCGATGGGTCATACGTATAGGTTGGCGTTTCGATTTTATATCCAAGCTTAGACGTCCTATTGATCACGAAAATAGTGGAAATTGTGCCATCACATCGTGTAAAGGTCAAACCATCAAGCAAATCTTTTGGGTATTTATACACGTGGGCCGATTTGCCAATTAGTTCTTTATTAGTCAATTAGTTCTTTATGTTTCTGGTTGTTATACTCAGTTATATAACATATATAAACGTTAATGTACTCCTCACTATAAAATTTGAGATACTAGATATAGAAAATTCTATTGTGAACGATTTATTAAAAAACTACTCATCAATAGTTGAGACCGAATAAAATGTTAATTGTTTGCAAAAGGACCAGCATTAACTGAACGTTTTGGAAACATGTTATGAACAGGTCGCCCATCGATTGTCTATAATTCACTATATCGATTGTCTAGGATTCACTATTTCGATTGTCTAGAATTCACTATATCAATTGGAGCTCTAGAACTATTCGTTTATTCGTTGCTATATACTGCATCGACGGTTTCATCAAACTCATCTGGTATCACACCCACGTAAAAAATCCACATGATATCGGATTGTCACCCAAGTAGGTGTACGATCGTATTGGCGTGTCTTTGGTGAAGTACGATAAGTACGTCTTGAATATAACTGGTTCATCCTCAACCGTCCAAGCAATTTCAAACCCACTACCAGGCCAATATGTGCCTTTCCAGTCTTTGGATTCGTAAGTTTTGCTAGAAGGAATCAATACTAACACTATGTATAAACGAAATGAGGTTGGGTTAAAACGAGAGTGTATCGATGTAATATCAAACAGTGGAATGTTTATATTTTAGTCACATTTTCACAAAACATCGAATACAGTGGCATCACATTTGATGGTTAAAGGTTGTTTTCTTCTAACACAGAAGGTGACTTATATTTACACTGGGAGATCAGTGGTTTTTATTAGAGGTTAAAAACATGAAAGTGTGGCTTTAATGAACATCCTATGATGCTTTCATGATGATTTTAAATCTTTTCATGTTTATTGGTTCACATGAATATTACTCAATATAAATTACTATTTTCTCACATTTTGGTGTGAGTTTGGAAATATAAATGCGGTTAAAATTAGTACCTTCCATTAATCCATTCGAATTCCCATTCGAGTGTTCCTGTGTAGAAAGTAACCTGTGGGAGATGAGGTAGTCTCCTTATCCTGTCACACTGAAAGTCGGCATACACCTTCCTTGCGTCCATAAAGCATGTCTGACTACGTGATAAGTATGCTCTGTATATCAATCCAGTGGAAAAAAGAGAGAAATCTGGAAATCATGTTGAATTTAATCCCTTAAAGCTCCTTCGGTGTGTATAGTTTTTGTTACCACATACATTTTTAGTTAAGAACTTTAGCCCTGGACTCAGTGCATTGTTTGCATACCATGAAGGTGTTTTTTTCCAAAACTTTGCATGACTGCAAATTCACTAAAAAAACATATTTTCAATGAAACTTTTTGCAAGGGTAAAGTCTCGGCAAGGCATCAATTCTCCTCACTTTGACAACCATACAAAACAAATGCGTCATTGATTATTTCATGCACTGCTGCCATGTGAAATACTGTGTTTGGGTTGGCTGGAATCGGATACACCTTACCAATAGTATGACTTGTGTGAATTATAATATATTTTTTAATTACCTTCAATTTCGAGAGAGATTCAAAACACCATCAAAAATTACACTTGAAATAATATAAAATGGAGAATTAAAATAAATAAAGAACATATCCCAAATCAACCCAAACAATGACCCAACGCCAAAAACTCAAGATAATATTATGCAGGGTGACACCACCCACTAATTTTGGAAAAACTTCTCAATAATTTAGCAATCTCTAGGATTTCTTATGTTTAGATACGCACTTGAGTATTTATGTAACAAATAAAAGTTTTACATTTTTCCGATGACCTGACTCCGTCGGTAAGAGTTAACTGAAGATTAGGAGGACTCTCTAGAGGTTAGAACACACATTTCAATGACACCATATCAGCTTTGTTTTGTTCATGATGAAGCATAAGCACAGTAACTGATTGAAATTTGTGTAAATGCATTATGGGCTTTCCATTTTCCTCGTGTTTACTTCCGGGAAGGCGTTGCCGCTTTCACGAAATAATGTATTGACCTGCTTGCCCGTAGCCAGCTTTTACCAGGACGGGGAGCTTTTTCACAATTGTGGTTAAAAATCATGCGACAAATTCTCCTTATGGTGAAAAATTGCGTGATTTTGTAAGAATTTCTGGCCAGGGGCGGAGCGGGCTCCCCCAGCTCCCCCTCTGGCTACAGGCCTGACCTGAACTTTAATTTTGTGATATGTCATCCAACCATGTCTGACGTGAAAATAATTATTATTAGAATATTAGAAAATAATGTTTTGAGCTCGTTTGCAGACGAGTTTAGGACAGGGCGCAGAGGAAGATGGCCTGTTTTAAGATAAAATAATCTGTAAGATCTACAGGGTGGTCCAAAAAAAATGGGACACTCGTATTTCAAAAACAAGGCATTAACATGACAAAATGTCACCACCTAGTTGCTCACAATATTATGAGTTCAAACTTAATATAAGTCAGATTTGAATTTCTGAGAACTTGTAAAGTCAAATTTGAACTTCTGAAAAGATGTAGATGATTTTGAAAAAAAAATTTGGTCAATTTGATGCAAGTTGAAAACAGACCTTTTTGACCTTTTTTGACCTTGAGAAGGTCATTAAAGGTCAAATGTCAAATCTAAAGTCAGATTTGAATTTCTGAGAACATGTAGATGATTTTGAAAAAAAAATTAGTCAATTTGAAGCAAGTTGATAAAAGACCTTTTTGACCTTTTTTGACCTTGAGAAGGTCAAATGTCAAATATAAAGTCAAATCTAAAGTCATATTTGAATTTCTGAGAACATGTAGAATGTAGATGATTTTGAAAAAAAATTTAGTCAATTTGAAGCAAGATGATGATTTTGAAAAAAAATTTAGTCAATTTGAAGCAAGTTGAAAACAGACCTTTTTGACCTTGAGAAGGTCATTGAAGGTCAAATGTCAAATCTAAAGTCAGATTTGAATTTCTGAGAACATGTAGATGATTCTGAAAAAAAAATTTAGTCAATTTGAAGCAAGTTGAAAAAAGACCTTTTTGACCTTTTTTGACTTTGAGAAGGTCATTGAAGGTCAAATGTCAAATCTAAAGTCAGATTTGAATTTCTGAGAACACGTAGATGATTTTGAAAATTTTTTTTAGTCAATTTGAAGCAAGTTGAAAACAGACCTTTTTGACCTTTTTTGACCTTGAGAAGGTCAAATGTCAAATCTTAAGTCAAATCTTAAGTCAGATTTGAATTTCTGAGAACACGTAGATGATTTTGAAAAAAAAATTTAGTCAATTTGAAGCAAGTTGAAAACAGACCTTTTTGACCTTTTTTGACCTTGAGAAGGTCATTGAAGGTCAAATGTCAAATCTTAAGTCAGATTTGAAGGTCAAATGTCAAATCTAAAGTCAGATTTGAATTTCTGAGAACATGTAGATGATTTTGAAAAAAAATTTAGTCAATGTGAAGCAAGTTGAAAAAAGACCTTTTTGACCTTGAGAAGGTCATTGAAGGTCAAATGTCAAATCTAAAGTCAGATTTGAACTTCTGAGAACATGTAGATGATTTAGAAAAAAATTGAAGTCAGTCTAAACAGTATTTGTTAAGTTATAGGAAGTTGTAAGAAATTGTTACAGACGCCGGACGCCAACCACCAACCACCAACCGCCGGACGCCGTCACAAAAAAACGGAGACCATAACAATATGTCACCACTTTTGGTGGTGACATAATAAATATAGCTTCTCTTGATGAAAACATGTCATATTATCCCAGACATGCGGAGATACCGAGACCTCTCACCATTAATACAGACTGCATGACATGTGCGTGTTTATACGACGGGTGATGTGTCAAGCCATTGTCTAAGTCACCACTCCCGAAAACCACCCTGGCGCAAGAGTTCAATTTGTCATTTCAGGACGAAATTTTCAGAATTCACAATGTAGATACGCTAACGTGTGGCCTTTTTTGAAATAAATTGTTGGGATTGTTCGCATGCAGTATCTGTTAATTTCATGTAAATTCATCGCATTGATTAAATTCAGGATCCAATAAATATATGTGCATTTATACTGTACTGTGGTTAAATGGGAACAGATGATTCAAAAAGAATTTCGAAAAACACTTTGTTAAATTATTTGTTTTCGTCTAAAGCGACTTATTTAGAGTCTTATAAATTGTATAATATAATGTACATGCAGAGCAAATATCTACATTCATCAGATGTTTATCGGGATGAAGAAGAGAACTTAATATCCTCTGGGAATGAAAGATCGTGTAATTTAACGTTGAAAGATAATAATGGTTTTAAACCTGATTTACCATTCGCCCATCGGGCTAGTAATTGGAATCTTAATGAAATTATAATTCGTGCAACGAATGGTGAGCGAAAGCTACACGAATAAACCAACTCCGCTGTACATACGAAATCATCCCGCGATGAGCTTGAAGCGCACTCGTGACGCGCCCGCGGTGACCACGAAATTCGGGCGGCATGTCGACGCCGTGGCATGGTGTAAGGCGTGCCATTAGACGAACTGTACCAGTGGGTAGAAAAATATACTTATCTTTAATTTGGTATATCATAAGTTTACATTTATTATGATGGCTGTCAACCAGCGTCCATAATATAAATGACGTAATTTTCGTTTCAAAACAGGTTTTCCAAAACTTGAAAAATCAACTTGATTTACATAAACAGACACTCAATATGTCCATCATTTTGATCAATTGTAGCCCTTGATTTTGGCCTAAACTGCTCAAAAGCATCATTGATTTGCTGTTGAAAGAATGAATTTCACTTCTCAGTAAAGGATTTCTAGAACATCAATTCTGTTAGTTCTCATCATACGTGGTAGTCGCAGATGTTTGGTGATCGGGTGATCTGAGGGAGACAGTGATTAGGGGGAATGATTCTAGACACATTTTCCTTTAAACATTTGACACTCTTGTGGGATATATTGCTTGGAGCCCCATCATGTTGGAAAATATAATGATTTGAAATTGAGCTCATATCGTGATGGTCCAGAAACAACATAATTGGATCATCCGATGTCAACATCTGAAACTACCACATGTTGGGAGAACGAACAGAATTGGTTTGCCATGAACCCCTTTCATCTACCCAGTCCCTTATTAAGTATAGAATTGTTGGAAAGTGGAATTGATTGTCTCATCAAAGCCAAAATTGAGGGCTACAATTGATCAAAATGGTATACATATTGAGTATCTGTTTATGTAAATCAAGTTGACAAAAAAATATTTTTTGCAAGTTTTGGAAAACTCGTTTTGAAACGAAAATGACTTCATTCATATTATGGACGCTGGCTGACAGACATTATAATAAATTTGAACTTATGGTATACCAGATTAAAGATGAGTAGATTCCCTATCCACTGGTATATAATATGACATGTTTTCATCAAGAAAAGTTTTTATATTTATTTTCGAAATACGAGTGTCCTATTTTTGGATCACCCTGTACAGTGGAACTATTGGTCTGAAATGCTGCGCAGAAGGTATGAATGGGTCGTCTGCTCAGTATTAGCCAATTAATACAGTAGTACCTGTTCGTGATGCTTTAAAATTTAGATCACGGTACACAAAATCAACGAACAAACATTCAATTTTCACATTATGTTCGGTACATTTGTAATTTATCGTATTGAAACTTCCGGAATTTACAAGGAAATCATTCATTTTCACGGTCCATATTTTACCTATTGGATATTGTGCTAAATGCTCTTTGGTTAACGCAACAATCGTGTACTTTGATCCGAGTCCCTCGTGAAACTTCACTACAAAATTAGTAATAAAGCAGAAACAAATCAAACTAAAAAATCAAATTATATCCAAGTATATCCTGTTTTGATCTTAATTTTGGAACTCACCACAAACGTGGGCCCGTTCATCGCTTCCATCTGCACAATCGACGTGTCCGTCACAAACCTAAAATATGTATGAAATCATTATCGTACGCCAGTTACGTAGGTATAGTAGGTGCAGCGTCGATCCTCGTTCCTGATTTTGCACGACTACTTTTGGAGTACTTAGTTTCAGGGGGTACAAGCGCGTCCAGTATTTTCGTCTGGTACAAACCGAGATACTGGACGCAGACCTCCATTTTTGATCCAGAGAGAGATAGGTGTGATTTTACTCAGAAGCCTGTGATCGTTTTGCAGTGTTTCCTTATCCAGAAACAGGCTCATCAGATTCCCCAGTACATTGAGGAACATACAATTCTTATAAAATGACAGTCATTCATCTAGATTTTTGTAATGTGGGGTTGAGCATGGAAATACTTTGATTTTTTCCAGGAAATACACGAATCGAGTCAGATTTATTTTTATTTACCAGAATATTGAAGAGATGTGCAATTTACTTGTGTATGGAATTAGAATACAACTTCCAGTTGGCAAATTTTAGCTTTGAAATGACCGAAAAGAGAAAAATTACGAAAAAGGAAATACCGGAGGAAATGAAAATGTACTGGATGAAAGCCATCCTGAATTAACAAGCTTGCGTCCATTACATTTTTTATTTCGCCCGGTATTTTTAAAATTTCGTCACTTTTCTTTTATCCGCGATCACTTTTAAGCTTAGTTTTGAAGATTGGAGGCTGCATTGTTAGTTCATAAGAAAATTGCATATCTTGTCAATGAAATGGTAAATAAAAAGAAATATAACTCGATTCGTGTATTTACTGAAAAACAATCAAAATATTTATGTACTTAATCAAAGAGAAACTAGATGGATTGCTGTAATTTTATGAGAATTGGATATTCCCCAATGTACTGGGAACCTGATGGGCCTGTTTTTAGCTAAGGACACACTGTAAAACGATCACAGACGACCGAGTAAAAGTACACCTACCTCTCTCTGGATCAAAAATGGAGGTCTGCGTCCAGTATTTCCAGTTGCACCAGACGAAAATACTGGGCGCGTTTCTATCTACTGAGTTTAAGGATTTTTATTGTTACGTTTTCCGATGGTTTGCTGAGGTATTGTGTGTTATGCAATGATAATATGATTATTCTACAATTATTATTATCGTTAGTTATTTACATTGGTATAATTAATTTATATTTGACAAAATAGTTATATGTTAATATAAACAAGCCAAGGCAATTAGAATTAACAGATTAATGAGTTACCAGCAGTTCATGTATGCATTCGCCGGACTCTAGACAGCGAAGACGATTCTTTCTTGTGTCGCATTGGTTTGCTAAAATTAACGTTTAACAGATTTTAAAGACCGAGTACAAATTCTAAGATTGTGACCATATTGAGACAATATCACAAAATCACAGGAATGATATTTTGTAATATCTCAAAAAGCATAGAAATGAGGAATCTATGGATTGATAGATGGCCATGTGATATTTTGTTGGTCATGTTTTTTATTTGTCTGTTCCTTCTTAATGGTTTATCGGATGACTGCTAGATGTTAATAAGGTACTTTCGAAAATATACTATACAAAACAATTAGACAAACAGAGTACTGTATCTTACGTATTTCTAGGGGTTATGTCATCATGATAAACCATGACATTTCAATTCTTTTCAGCCCTGAGATGCATGTTTCAGGTGAAACAGAAATATGCTATGAGTATCAGAATGGGGTTGGGTATAGTAGAGTGAAAAGTGGGTAATGTATCGAGGGTAGAAGGTTGGTGTCGCGTTTTAGCATGTAAGGGAGCATCTCGAACCCGGATCTCGAACGATCATTGGATTACTTACTGTATTTGAACAGATGTGACCACCTCCCCCCTCATAACTGTGTTTGAGAAATGTTGATATGCGTTATTTCGTTGGTCACACTATATTTAACATAATATGTTATGCAGTTAAGCTAAAAGTAAAATACTATAGATCAGGTTCATGTAAAATAACATACTTATCTTGTACACGATCTCCGTATTGATCTTTGCATATTTACTATGCATCTTCAGTCGTCCAAAATCTACTTCACGTGCCTTGGAGATACTCTTAAACTTGTCTTCCGCCCTGAAGAATATATTCTGATTTACATGGTCAGTCCATTTTGGTTTTCTGGTGCCTGGTGCAATATCTTCACTTTAAGTCTAATAACTATGGAGTTGATATTGCGCCAGATATTGTGAGAATATAGTTAATAAAGTCGACTATACTATTCTATATAATAGCTATATAACTAAGTCACGTATTAATCTGAAGTTAAGATCACCCATTGTGTTGCGTTAAAACATGAATATAAATGCACATTAGAGTATAGACTTCACCTAACCAAACCCGTCTGGCCCAGTCATTAACCAAACCCGTCGGTCTGGCCCAGTTATCTACTCCCGACGTCGTAGATCTGGGTAGAGACGTAGAGACGGGTTCGGTTAGCCCAGTCATCTACTCCCGAAGTCGTAGATCTGGGCCAGACGGGGTTCAATGCAAAAAAGGGGATTTACTAGGGAAAAAACACACTGGTTTTTCAATGTATAATACGTGCTGATAAATGAATAAACATCATAAAAAACACTCACGTTTTTGTTCCTTGTATCAAACTTTGTATTTATATTAGGTTTCCATCGCTGGATAACGGCTAATAAATAAGAACGAAACGATTAAACGCAGCAAAAAGAAAAATTCTTCTTCGGGACTTTTGTACTATACAAGTCATCCTTTTAGTTATATACTTTGCTAAAGAGCATGCGCTTAACATTTTTTTGTCCGTGGTTTTATGAAGTAATCTACATTTCGATTACAAATACGCTGAAGAAAACGTAATATTTGGAATGTATTGGTTCCCGGGAAATGTATTTTCGTTCCATGAAAGTTAAAAAATCATCGCGTCACACTTATGTTACGTCACATCACGTGACTTTATTCGGTGCGGAGAACTGACGAAAATATTGACGAAATCTTGTGCCCATTTCAACATCAATATAACAAACAAAACACCACATTTACATGTAAATTATATACTCTTTAATTCAAATAAATACTTGGGTTTACATGGAGCCCGATGTTTTGGTTGGATGGCTAATAGGGAATGAATAATAAGTAATGATTTAGCAACATGTTTTTTTTACGGAGTAAATCCTCCTTTTTTGCATTGGACCTCGTCTGGCCCAGATCTACGACGTCCGGAGTAGATAAGGTGTCACTCCTGTAAATCATTGAAAAATATTGAAAAAAATCACTAAATTCAAGTCCTGGGGTACTATATCGCCATTTTCGAACGAACTAGCCCATACAATGACTATATTTCTGCGTTCCCCTATACATAACCTTCATCTCGACACTATATTTAACATAGGGTTTACGTCTCGATTTTTAGATATCACTACGCCAACATAGGGACTCATTTTCAGGTAAAATCCCTGCTTCACCGATGAAAATTAACGAATAAAGTAGTTCCAGTTTGCAGCCGGGACTATATTCTTGCGATTGTTTTCTTAAAATGACACACTTAGAAAGTACTTGGCCTCAGCTTTACATAAATACCTCAAATGGCCACATTGCATACACTTAAACCTACTATACACACCATTGAAGTTGGCATGGCTTCGTTTTTAAAGTATTAAAAAACACTGTCCTACCCGGAAGTGCTATTTACCGGAGTGACACCATAACAGGGCCAGACGGGTTTGGTTAAGACTTCACCCATCGCTCCATATTTCCTTGTGTTGTACTTGGCTCGTGAGAGGATTTGTATAATCGTTTGCTAATAGGTACCAGTGTTAGTAATCAACATAATCGGCTAACAGACTGTACAGAAGAAGTCGAATCTGTGTTGCATAATTGATTCTCATACGTATGAATTGAAAGAAATACCAACCTGTAAAGGCGCTGTTCGATTCCTTGAAGTTTCTGATCCAATCCATTTGTGTAACCCCCGTCCAAGCGCATATGCCTCAATCTGCTACTCGGTTCATTTGCACCAGCCACAAAATCAACAAACACAAAAACTAAACAGGTATACGTATTCATAGCAGATATATATTAATGAACTGTACACATTCTCTCTCTTATGTAACTGGATAACTAACTGAGCAACGAAAGTCGAAAGTTTTAAAGTCCATTTTTTAATAAGATGTTGATGACGTAATTTGTCTTAAGGTTACAATATTCTATTTTGGATTTGGCCTGCTTAAAGTGCCCGATAAAGTATAAAATGCGCATGCGTCCAGGTGTTGATAAACTATAAATAGCGAAAATCCAGGGTTTGTCACCACAAGGTAAGCCAGGACGTGTTGAGAGAACAGCTAGTGCTGATATTGAATTTATATGTAGCCAGATAAGTTTCCTTATTGAAATTACATATGGTTATTAGCAATACTTTGTAGGTGCTAAATAATAAAATATTTAGAGTATATATGAGAGAAATTGGTCATTTCGAACCTGTTGAAAAGTTTGTAGCTCTCGGCTACACCGGGGAATTTACTTCCATGAGTACACACATAAATGTGGGGTTCCCCAAGAGGTACGCGACAAGGTGACCTGGCATCAAATGTGCGACTAAATGCTACTATCGAGAAGATAAAATAACGAATACGACAATAAGTTATTGCATGTGACAATTCCGAGCCTTCATCTCACTGAAGTATTTTGAAGTGAAAATAGGATTTTTGTTTTGATACATGGATTCAGATGAACGTAACTTTATTCTGACAACTAATCAAAACTGAACAAAATTGATTGTACGTAACAGACAATTTATTGTTTTACAATGTTTTGATTGGCTAAACGAATGAAACCAACAAATTATGACATGTGAAATGACAATTTTGAAATGTAAAATTTAAAAGTGACAAACACAACCTCCCTATCCACTCTTTGGGAGCCCTAGTAAATTAGTAATATGTACATGCAGCAGTGGTAGTGTGCAGCTTATTATCACACTACGCTTTGTATTCTAAAGCCTGTTGTTTGTAATAACACTGTTCACTCAACGTATGTTTTGTGTGTGGGCAGTCAACGATAATCATTGTTTTATCCCGGTTATATGACCTCGGCAATTATAACAAAACCGTACTAAACGAAAAAACGCAAATAAGAGAAAGCTTTCACACACATATAAAAAATGAACTAGTCTAATCCGCCAGTATAAACTCTGTGCTATACGTAGCCGGGTCAGGCGCACACTTTAAAGTGTGCGCCAAAATTTAAAACTGCGCAGGCGCAGCGCTCTCGCTAACCTATATAAAGAGATTACCGGGTACAGGCTTCAGAGGTAAGCCAGGAAGGTGTACAACTATCGTCCCGTGTTGATTTCCCGTATAATCGTAACCAGGCAAGTTTCAACATTGGAATTGAAAATAACTATTAGATACACTTTGTAGATGTTTATATATGAAGGTATTAAGTGTATGCATCAATCAAATGCCTCATTTTGAACATATAAAAAGTATTTGTGTTTTGTTTCCCAGGGAATTGTATTCTCATGTAATACACACATAAATAGTGTACATTATGTTGTTCTTTAATAGCCTGGCTTATATAATATTGAAGGGCATGCTTATTGTACACACGAGTACATGCATGAAGGTCTAATATTGATATTGCTTGCATACCTAAGTAAAAAATAAACCCTTCTAATCCCCTAATGTAAACACGGCGGTATACGTAGCCCGATTTATCGGGGGCTTTAAGGAAGTAGGAACTAGAGACCAAGATTGTTAGAAATCTTATGGAGGCACTGAAGGCGTTTATGACCTTTTAAAGTTACTAAGATGTAAAATCGGGAAAATGTCATGGGTGAACTCCTGTCAATTTGAAGCAATCTTTTATATTATCAATTCTATCGATCAAAATATCGATTTTTAACACCATTTGCGCACCATTGGTGTTTAACCGTGAAAAAATGACATTTTTATATTTTGAAGGGGACTGTTGGCCAACAACAAAAGGTCACGTCTCAAATCAAATATCAGATATAAACTCATGGCAACTTGGAGCGAGTCACAATTTCACCTTGACAAAAATGGAAGATGACCTTGGTCTTTGTCCTTAAACATTGATGCAAGTTACACTTGATGCAAATGACTAAATTATGATTGTAACCATGTAGATACACTTATCTAATAGTTTTATTCCTTTTAAGGGACCATAAACTATGCCAATGAAAAAAGGACATAAAATATGCTTGCTCAAAGTTTAACCGACCTTTCTTCTCAAATAGTAAAAGACATGAGATAGTTTACGCTATATACTTTAGTTTATACAGGGTGTTCCAAAAGTAACAGGACTGGTGCTGGCATTTTGTTAAATATGCACCAATCGTCTTCAAAATTTTACATATTTTACTTTCATGTATCGTTACTTAGATAGCAAAGTTTCAACAAAATATATGAAACTTGGATAGAGTTATGGTTGCTATAGTAACATGACATCACAATACCCGGGGCAACATTCCACGCAAAAAGTTACAGAGACATTAAGCATTTTGTACATGCCATATCCTTCTGTACATGCCATATCAAAGTTGAAATGCAACAAGTGGTGGGAATTACATTTGTTTTACATCATTTGATATTCCTATGTATCACACTACCCTACCACGTGACCACGTTTAAAAGGGAAACAGGGTACAGCTTAGTTGCAAATGGAGGACGTGGGTTTAATTCCATATTTCTGAACGTAAAATACATTTTACATATATTTCTAGTGTTCTACCAGACATAGAATTGATTCATCAAGGAGTGTGTAGAATATTGTTGGCAAAAAACCACTATAGGCAAAGATAGATAATAGTGGGCGCAGTGAAGCAAAACCAAATGCAATACACGATACATTTCAGTAAATCTATCAACGTACAGGGAGTATGTAAGTGTCCCTTCAAAAATGTTACATTGATATGTAACAAAAAACCCAGTTAACTGTTGTTTAAACTGCGTGTCATCGTGTTATAGGTGGATACGTTTTCTAGTATGTTAGTCAACTGTATTTTTGTGAATTTGAACAAAACATTTTGAATGGTCGGGTTTTTAGGACGGTAGTGAATTAGACCATTCAAGGGGCTCTATAGAAAAATTCTTCATATGTAGTTCAGGCAATTTTGATTATTCTGAGTAGCAAATAGTCATTAATACTGATAGCGGATAGTCATTTATCATTAACGTGTTGATATTTAATTTCGTTATTTTATTTCAATTTGATACCCTAGTAACACGTATAATCTAGCGTTCTTGTTAATTTAATGACTAAAATGCATACGACTTGAAAGCCCGTGTCTAAATCTACAAAATAATGTTTACTTTATTTGGATTAAATAACAATTGATGACACCTCAAAGCATCAACAGGCGGCCTTTTTAGCATTACTTTCACTGTTTGCAATGTAAATGTACATGAGGTCGGGACATAGTATGTCTGTATAATCAGCTTACTTTCTCGCTCCCTGTACTATTGAACAATTTACATTCCTTGTACCCTGTATTGATCAACTTTTGCAGCTGTGTACCGTGTACTATGACATATCAAATATTTAAAATTTAAAACGATATTATTTACATTATTTCTTCAACTATCATATAACTTGGAACATGGACTTCACTATTGCACCACTGAAGTGTAGCGAATAGCAATATTGACTCACTCCGAGCACCAAACGTATTAACCTTTTGACTAAGCAGTCGATATACTCAAAAGCGACATGTTTGAAAGCCAAAAGATTCGCGCATGCGCGATCGAGGTAGGGTAGTGTGATGTATCCTCTACTTTGAAAAACAGGCTCCTCTTTGGTGAGTACAAGAGTAGTACTCTGTATCCATGACCCAAACACATGAGTGAACCCATTTGAGGACATGTCACGCAGGGCCGATTGGACAATTTGGGGAAGGTCATTCTCATCTTTAAAGGTCTTACAGCACTGATTAGCATTCCGTTCTCAATATAAGTAAAAATTAGATATTGCATGATCAGAGGAGTATGGTGCATGGTTTTAGACCTCAAGACCTGGCTCCTCTATAGCTGCATGGTCTTAAATGATGACCTGCGGGTAGACGCGCTATCAAGGTAGATGACTGGCTTCAAATTGGGTCTTTTCAAAAACTCAACCGTGAATTGTTCAGACCCATATACATAGTGATATTCCAGGAAATTGAATAAATATTATTACCATTATGAAATTATACTTGAATCAGAGTTATATGGCAACACCTCTACAACAAAGGAACTAATAAAACAAACAAGCAATGTTGTATTATAATAGGTGAATTAGATACTTTCTTCAGTAATACAAAAATGTTAGATATCACATTTTCACGGAAAAGTTGCCCCGGGTATTGTGATGTCATGTTTCTATAGCAACCATAAATCTAACCGCATTTCATCTTTTTTTCTGAAACTTTACAATTTTAGTTGCAATACTTCAAAGTACAATTCGTGAAAATTTGAAGATACTCAGTGCAAAATTTACAAAATGCCAGCACCAGTCCTGTTACTTTTGGAACACCCTGTATGTATTTTAAGAGTCTTATAATCTAAACATAATATATAATTTGCAATTTGTTATTTTGATCCACCGGGGAGGTTAACTTCCGTGGTTACTGTCGCTGCAGTCGTCGTTGTCTTTGCCGTCGTCTTCGTCTTCGTAAACATTCAGGCCTGTTCAAACTGTCAGGGGCTGGGCCGACTTCATTCGCAAACTCTCCAATGTAGTTCCCAGGTGAAACGTACCGTGCAACAACATTTGTCTAGAATTTGTGATACTTCAGGCAAATGGGCAATAGCAATCATTTTCAAATAAAGATGGCAATCTAATCAATCTGTTATACATATTTTCATATCGACGTAAAACCAACCTATGATTCATACATGCACAGCTGTACCATATCTAAGTGCCTGACATGTATTTTCCTCTAGTCTGAAATTTTTGTGAAATTTGGAATGAAAATATTCAGACTATAGCCCACTTATGTTAAAATTTGGGATAGAAAATTATCTGTTTACATAGGAAGTGCCATTCAAAATGGCCGATTGGGTAAATTGATTTGCATATTTGTTACTTCCCCTAGCTTTATTTCCATTTGACAATATGTTGTGTTACTTTTTATAGCATTTAATTGTACCTTACTACTTAATTGAATTGTTATAATGCTCATTTTTGGGAAGTAATGTTTCCTAAAATTGACAATTGTGTGCAGGAAATTTTCTGTTTTTCCCACATGAGGGACATAATGATCAATAGACTAAATTCTCGGGAAATTCAGTGTATTGGATATAGACTAGCCTGACATGGCATCGATACGGTTTAGTTATGCTCCTTCTTACCACAGTACCAAGGAGTAACAAATAGAAAGTTCCTAAATCTTAGAATACCTATGTTAGGATTTCTCCAAGGAATGTGCAAGTAAAATGTGGTGACTTAACTCTTAAAAGTGAAGAAATGAGAGTAAATATACAGACTTGGGACTTGTGTTGTATCGGCTACTATTCAATTGTTGTACCCACGGATTTTATAACTTCATAGTGAGATGAAATCGTGACCACTGATCACTGTTCGACAACTTCGTTACTTCAACTTCAAACTTTAATTCATAAAAGTTAATAGGTCAGCCCGGTAGCCGGCAGTCGGTAGTTACATTCGTGATCTAATACAAGCTCATTAACATTACATTGATAATATTTGATTGAAAAGAAAAGGTACTATGTTATTTCTATCTAAAGATCAGATTATACTCAGTGGGATCATTATTGTCTCGATAATTACTCACTCCGTTTTGACTGTCACTTGCAAGTCCGATTCCAATGTTTGTAGTTGCACGCCAAACAACCTGAGTAAAATGTCCAGTGTTCTGAAATGAATAATATCTCTGAAAGACTTATGGCTACCCACCTGAATATATTGTTGAGTTTGAATATCAATACGGATGAACCTAAAATAAAGATATTTGAATACAATTAACGACATTCAAATCGACAATGTTTGATTCTTTCTGCCTTAGCTTGACTCTGTTCACAGCGGTCAGGATTCATTCGACTTAGCTTGTATTCGCAATTTTCGGCTGTCGGCTACCAGCTTAACATATTATTTTATGAGCAACTCATTAAAATTTAAATATGAATAGTACCTACCACTATTCTATTGGTTGGTTAAATATTAGGTTAATCCGGTAGCCGACAGTCGAAAGTTGCATTCGCAATGCAAATTCAAGCTTAGTTTCTGGCAAAAGTCGATATACCTCGAGTGTCAATAACGAATTTCAAATTACTGATCGTGTGGCGAAATTAGGTTGACTGCTTTAACATTAAATAAATTGGGATACTCACATAACCAAACCCATGGTTGCAAAAGTCATAATCTTTCACCTCATTGTACCAAGCAGCTGTGGCATCATAGCTATCAGTTTGGGCTAAAACGGAAATGGAAAGATCTAGAAATGTCACGGTCAATATATTTGTACAATGGTATTTGAGGAGTTTTTTAAGAACTGTCATTTGTCATAATATGCAGTCTAATAATTTTGTAAGCGTTCGTCAGACTGTACCATGTATTTTATTGTTCTGGCGTATTATGTACATGAGGTCACGTGACCAGATATGATGAAACCAATAAAGCGATACTTAGAAGAACTGATCTATTAGTTTTATCATCGTAGGGCATTGTTTTTTGGCATATTCAAATTGATGATGTGAGATTGATGATATTATATTCAATCATTGACTGATGTAATACTTTTTCTGAAACAAATATCCATGCTAAGGAGGCTAGGTGCCAAAGCCATATCTATTGTATTTTCACACTAGGCATGTGTAAATTACTATATACAATACAATACCAGAAGTCCAGGCTAGGTTTTCTCCGGCTGGAGTAGTTGAAGAATCGCATCCAATTCCAGGTATATTTTGATTCCTTTTGGCAGGGGTACAATGTGCCATAAACCCTTTATTGAGTAAATACTCTGCATATGCTTGGGCTTCCTCATTAAGGACAGCGCTGAAAATGTATTTGTCTTAACTATAATCCTCTTAATTTTGCCCTTTAAGGCATCGAGATGATATTCGCAAAGATGAAGGCAACATGCTGAATAGATATTATGAGGTAACTTAACTAGAAATCAATTATAATGTATATGGCCGTTTTTGCTATTTTGTGTTACGGCAGTGACCTTAAATATTGAAAATAATTTCAACTTAAATATCTTAATTTTAGTGACATAATGAAAAAGAACTGTCGTGCATAACCCAGCACTATACAACGAATTACTGTAACTTTGAAAGTTATTCCAAAAACATTGTTATTGATTTTGCTTTGAACCTGGAAATGAGATATTTTGTTTCACCATTTGTTGAACAATTCCGTCCAAATATTTATCTACAAATGATCACATAGGTATTATAGTTCCTGAAATTATTTTCATTCACAAAGATCAAAGTATAGGCGGATGTACGTCGTATAGCTTTATATTTCTACGACCAATTGTAATCCTACGACCGCCGTAGACTATACAATGTCACACATTACAGCATTACTCAAATATACTGCGGTAGCCGTGGGCCTACGCATATGTTGCCGTACGAAGCATTTTGAATTTGTAGCGACAGAAAATAACGACTACTAAAAACTGGAATATGTCGTACGGCAACCTTGAGGCGACAATACATTTTTTACCACCGCCGTGTCTATTTTTAGATTTCGAGGACTTGTCTAGCCGCCGTACGCACGCTGTAGGAAACATGTACTTACTCAAGAAAAAGAGGGTTTGCACCGTGTATGCTCCTGTAGTTATTATGTGAAGCAAGTTCTCTAGCTCGATATTGAGCAAGTGTTAAAGCTCTCTTTTCTATTCTGCCAGCTGCAAACAATTGGATGCTTTAAACATGTTACATGCTCAAGATATATAAACATTATCAACTTCGAAAGCCTCACCAACAAACACAATTACAAAAGATGGACATTTTTAGTTGAAGTATTCATTGACCACGTACTCTGACATTTGCGTATGCGGAGTGTAAGTTTGTTTTATGGCAATGCCAGGTAGACAATAAAATACTCAGGGCAGCGTACTGCCATCGTACCAGGGGCAATATTAATTTAATATTCAAATTACTACTAGACATACAATAACCAGAACAACGGCAACGCCAAAGCGTAGCGAATCCCATCGAACAGAAATGGCTGGCATTTTACATTTGAAATATATAGCAAATATCGTAAAATAAAACCCATAAGAAAGGCCACCATTTTCAAAATGGTTGCTCACTAGACAAGTTGTCATCAGCAGAAGTAATATGCTTTTAAGTAGCCACATATAAAATTTAAAAAAAATCGCCCACGCATACATGTAAATACTGGCCATTTTTAAAATGGCCGCCTACTACCCAAAATGTCATAAGACAGTATGCAATCCTTACCAGTATTCACATATCAAATATGAACAAAATCGCTCTATTACTTTTTGAATTATTATAAAAAATGTAAAATAACACACATAAAAATGGTGGCCATTTTTCAAAATGGCCGACTACTCCCTAAAGTTTTATTTGACAATGTGCCATGCTTAAGTATTCACATATCAAATATGAACAAAATCGCTCCAATACTTTTTGAGTTATAGTAAAAATGTAAAAATGACAGCCATTTTTTAAAATGGCCACCTATTACGCGAAGTGTCATGAGACAGTGTGCAAGGCTCATAAGTATTCACATATCAAATATGAACAAAATCGCTCTACTACTACTCAAGTTAGAGTAAAAAACGTAAAAAATTTCAAAATGGCCGCCTACTACCCAAAGTGTCATTAGACAGTGTGCCATGCTTATAGTATTCACATATAAAATATGAACAAAATCGCTCTACTACTTTTTGAGTTATAGTAAAAAATGTAAAATAACACGTAAAAATGGCGGCCATTTTTCAATATGGCCGCCTACTACCCAAAATGCCATTAGACATTGGGCCATGCTTAAAGTATTCACATACCAAATATGAACAAAATTGCTCCACTACTTTTTGACTTACAGTAAAAAATGTTAAATAACACACGTAAAAATGGCGGCCATTTTTCAAAATGGCCGCCTACTACCAAAAATGTCATCAGACATTGTGCCATGCTTAAAGTATTCACATACCAAATATGAACAAAATCGCTCCACTACTTTTCAAGTTACAGCAAAAATCGTAAAAAGACGTGCAAAGGCAGCCATTTTTCAAGATGGCTGCCAGGTATTTCTTCTGTATTTACATTTCTAGCTTAATCAATGTCCTATATAACTTTTTTTACATTTAAAACATATTGCTATTACAGTTTTATATGCAGTACCTAAATTACTGTAAAATCGGCACTAAAATGGCCGCCATTTTTAAATGAGCGGCCATTTTGAAAATCGGTTTTCGAGCAGAACTTCTACCCCCATTGGGTATATGTGTACAAAATATGAACAAAATCGGGCTAACGGTATTTGAGTTATTGCCCGGACGGACGGACAGACGGACGGACGGACGTACGTACGGACGGACGGACGGACGGACGGAGGCGTTCCCTATATCCCTCCGAACTTCGTTCGATGGGATAATTAAAGCATTTTAAACTGCCATCACCTGACTCTCCCTCCTTTAACTTGAATTTGAGCATTTTTACGGATCCTTGGTCGGCAGACATCGCCGCCATCGTGACAAAAGTCAACAACACCAACAACTGCATAGCCATTTTGAACTTTGAAAACCTAAATATATAGTTTGACACATTTTAGAGGCAGTGGTAGATCTGGAAGCTAACAAGTAGGGGGTCACATTTCAAGTCAGAAAAAAAGTCGGCCCAAATTTTGAAAATTTAGGCCAATTTTGAAACTTTGGCTTAAAATTGAAAAATAAGGCCCAAAAGGCCAAGTAATGACTACTAAAAAACCAATCATCGAGGCCCTACAAAATGTTTGGCCTAAAAAATTTATAAGTGCACATTGTAAACCTAAATACAGGGTGTCCCAAAAAAAGGAAACCAGCAATAGATTGCTTATTTCTCAAATATGAATAATGATAGGAAAATTTCACAGCTATCATCTGATAGCTTATGATGTCCTCTTTCTTATGATACCAAAGTTGTCTATTTTCCTTCACGGATGACTGAGTTATAAGGGATTTAAGTGACCATGTCAGAAATGAGTTTGTACCACTTTCAGCCAAGTCAATTTCACCATCATAACAAAGTGATAAGTAACAACAAACATCAGGATATCACTCTTTTACTCATTTATTCCAATTAAAATTACACATACATATGTATCATATTTAACATCCCTTTTAAAACCCAATGTCCATTCAAAGTTGTTTTAACCCCAGTGTCATCATCAGGGATGCATTACGTGCGATGAGATCAAGGGCAGACATTTGCATTGAAAGGAATGGGGGTCATGTTGAAGGACACTGGGGTTAAAACAACTTTGAATGGACATTGGGATTTAAAAGGGGTGTTAAATATGATATGTGTAATTTTAATTGGAATAAATGAGTAAAAGAGTGATATCCTGATGTTTGTTGTTACTTATCACTTTGTTATGATAGTGAAATTGACTTGGCTGAAAGTGGTACAAACTCATTTCTGACATGGTCACTTAAATCCCTTATAACTCAGCCATCCGTGAAGGAAAATAGACAACTTTGGTATCATAAGAAAGAGGACATCATAACCTATCAGATGGTAGCTGTGAAATTTTCCTATTATTATTCATATTTGAGAAAAAAGCAATCTATTGCTGATTTCCTTTTTTTGGGGACACACTGTATATGATTAAGAAAAAATTAAGAATATATTATGATTAAGAATTGACCAATATCATCATGCGCAGGAGCAACGATTTGACATTAACAAGTCTTCAGCTTCAGTCTATTCGAAAAATCAAACTTGAAAACGACGTGTTAAGTTTGAATTAAAACAATTAAGATAGATCCAATGAATTGTAGCACTCAATAATAAGGAAATATTACACAAACTTTCTTGTTGAAAAATACCTACTTTTGCTTGATGACTGCAGAATTTATATGACAATTCATTGAAAAATTCTAAAGCTTCTAAAGCTTTTCTCTTGCACGGTTAAATACGATATTTGCCTGCCATTCAAAATGACAGCCCCCAGTAAGGTTATTTGTTTCATTTTTGTCAACTCCACAAAATGTGTAGCAAAACGTACATCTAAAAGTAGCTATAGTCAATAGGCCCTTGCATTGTTGACATATATAATTTTAATTTACATTAATTCCCCCTAACCATTATAGTATAGGTCATTTTGGATATGTATATTTGGAAAGGTGAAGGATATTTATCTAAAACAACGTTTTCATATGCTGCCTCCAATCTTATCTCCATTGCATATACATAAGACTTTAATGCCTGTTTTAAAAGAATATTCCTCACTGAATTAAACAGCCTCTTCAAGAATGTAGCCATTGGTCAAAATAAAAGTGCATGCAGTGAAATAAAAAGTTCTGCATTATAACGTGGCACGTGTTTTAGAAAGTAGACGACAGAAGTGATTAAACAAATGAGGGAACATGAATCAAAATTACTCTTTTTACCTGGAAATAACCTTCAAAACCTTTTATAATTACTGTAAGCACCATCCCCAATAATTAAAGATGACATATAAAATATATACAGGGTGGTCCAAAAAAATTGGAACATTTGTTAATTGAACGCAAAACCTTTATTTTTCTTCTAAAATGTACCAAACTTTTACTGAGCACAGTTCAATCACTTATTTATCTGATGTAAAGTTTATAGGTGAAAACCACAAAGTTAATGCATTAAACTAGTCAATGTTTGATAGGACCCCCTTTTCTTAAATATACACTTGTCAATTCCGCGGCTACTTTTTCAAGTATTATTTATTTCAAAGCTTTAATGCACATGTTAATTGCTATAAATATTTTATAAAATCATATTCAGTTGACAAAGAGTATTTTCATCTGAGGTTTGCCAGAAAAATATTGTGTAAACTTAAACTTAAACAATACCCAAAATGATCATTTTCATTTTAGAGTAGGGAAAAAGGAACATGTCAGAGGTTAGCGAGTGCATAACCCTAACAGCTACTCAAGTGTCAAAAGAATTGTTCCCACTTTTCAGTAAAGGCAAAACTGACCAATGGCCAGTTATTCACATTAAAAACCAATGCTAAGCACACATACAGTGTATAATATACATATAATATACCATTTGTGTTCTCTATATGATATTGATAGACATATTGATATATCCAATGTATATCATTCATATCAGAACAATTAAGGGACGGGGGCTTCATTTACCAGTCAAATCAGACTGCCCTGGCCTCTTTCTGGAGAATATTCAATCAGTAATATACCCAACAATAGCCATCAAAATATGCTTGATACTCATGAATTTGGGTAAAAAATGTTAAATATGTTACTAGATTTGATCTTCCAAGGCAAACAAATAGGAAGTTTGATCAAGCTGAAATTTTTAATTGAGATGGCTTGGACAAAACAAACGAACAGCAAACTAATTGAATATTTACAAATCTGAGCCCCGGGCTTCAACTTGTAAGTCAGGAGAAGAGGGGTCATATCAAATATCGACTAGTTTAATGCATTAACTTTGAGATTTTCGCCTATAAACTTTACATCAGATAAATAAGTGACTGAACTATACTCAGTAAAAGTTTGGTACATTTTAGAAGAAAAATAAAGGTTTTGCGTTCAATTAACAAATGTTCCAATTTTTTTTGGACCACCCTGTATGTAGCAATAATATCAGTGAATAGACTTGAAATTAAAATAAATTGTTATTTGTGTTATCTTTTTATGTTCAGCACAATGATATTTTCATCATATTCATGCCTATTCATTTAAGTTATTGGATGTTATTCCGGAACAACTTTTCACAATGTTTTCATGTATTGATTATTGTTAACATATTTATTAGATCATTTTCAATAAATATTTAAAATCTCGTTGTTTATTGCTAAATTTCATAATTGGTGTTCGCACAACTACAATATGTTGCAAAGTACTGTTCAATTCGTTTTCTATTGTACAGTCAATTGGCGTCTCCATTGACTTTCAAGACGCAGTAAGTGTTAAACTTGCAGATACTTTGTCTGGTAATAACAACGATATTGCATTTTAGCACCAACTTTAACGCATTTATGGTTATGTCAAGGCCCGGGGACCATTGATAGGTAAATATGGAAGCCCTGGAGTAAATTAGAAGGAATGAGATATCTATCCCTTGCTCAGATCATACCTTCTTTCAGAAGTTTTACAGAGCGTATGTTCGTACAGGGGTTAGGGGTTCTTAATAAACGCCGTGGTGTATATAGTTAAAATAAATCTACCAAACAAAAACAAGACATCAGAATTCTTAATATTTCTAAATCTAATTATTTCTGATTAATTTTTTAAATAATATTTTGTACACTTATAAGTGACATGTACAAACGCAACATGTTTTATTATTGGTGGCAGCATGATTCACTTTAGCGTTCTCAAGCACACTTTATCTCTAATTTAGTACAGTGTTGATGTTTGAAAGTAAATATCATTCATTTTCAGGTTGGCCTATCATTGGAGAGGTTAAGCTAACGATGTTTTTCACAACGTAACCGTGAACGCAAAGTGCAAAAATTAACAAAGGAATGTATCGAGCGCTCATAGTTTTATGCGCGCTTAGTCTACTTCAGATACTCTTTCAGCTTCAGAGTTTCGGGTTTAGAACGGGAGATTTGAATATTTGACGTTGGGTCAACGGGAACCATTTTACTCGTGTCTATTGAACACTATGCTGTCAATTTTGATTTCGATGTACAGTTGAATTCTTGCTGAACACGATGATGTATGTCATGCATGATTTAGCGCCAAAAATCTTACGAAACGACCTCGTTTAAAATATGTATTAGAAAACCAGCTATAAAACCGCATCAATGACATACTATAGAATCATTACACGCTATGGTGTAGTCTAAACAAACACAGGATTTGAACGGCTATTTATATGAGAAGGCTACATGAATTTGTATATGGTCGAGTGATACGTACAGGTTCAGTTTCGATTATATATGCAAAGCTTAACCTCTCCACCGAATCTCGTTTCGCCCCTATACGTAGTTGGGGTAAGTTTTGCCAAGAGGCGTGGTCACATTGGCCTCTGACTGCCAGTCTATTCTCTGGCACATTTTATTTAGTACCCCGGTTTAGTACAGTGTCACTTATTTTCATGTACGACATGCTGTGGCTTCATCATATTTTGCCATTTTATTTATTATTCAGGGCTGGTCAGTTTCAGTTCTTCCATGAGAGCAGACTTTTTCAGTTTTTTTGAGGTTGGAGCTGAAATATATAAAGATATAAACAATATTAGTTAGTTCCTATTAATTGCTCATAAAATCAACAATAAAAAAATCATTTCCGCAAAAAATGTTTTTGCAGTTTTGCAGCTCTCTGGCACATTGAGTTAGAATGTTGTATGAACTTAAAAGTCACATGATTACCATAAACAAACTTGGTTTAATACAAAGAATACCAAGCCATTTTGCCCCAAAAATTAAACAACATATTTTAAAAAATTTCTATTGTTTACACTAAATATTATATGAAATTCAGTTAATTACCTCCTTCAATAAAGTGATCTGCAGTTTTCTTGCGAAGTTGATCTACCGATTCCTCTGTGTCCGCCCATTCTAGCACGAGCCTGCGTCCGTACAAATGTGTACTGTGGCACATGGCTGTAAACGCTCTCTGAAATAGAAAAACAGAAAGCATTTAAGAAATTATCAAATCTTAATTAAGATACATTAACACGCGAAATGCCACCACTTGCCATTTGTTACAGACACCAACCACCGAGCGCCAGTGAGTCCACAAAAAAAGTTGGAGACTAACAATATGTCACCACTTCTGGATGTGACAACAATATGTCACCACTTCTGAAGGTGACATAAAAATTAAGCAATAAAGTTCCGTGAAAGATAATATATAGTACCCTGGGCTCACTTGACTTGAAATTCTATACTTTTTAATTACATAGCAAACCTTGTGTCATCATATTTCATCTCCACTAAAGTCAAACCTAGGACGTCAAGTTTGCATTGTAATAAAGGTATATATTAAGTACATATATACAAGTACATTTTACGCCTGTCTAAATATAGGCTAAGTATAATTTTAAAAGGACCTGCATACCTTAGCATCTTGTTTTGTAAGGAAGTCCACAAATCCAAATCCTCTGTGAGTACCTGTTCCACCCACCTTCTTAGGAAGCCGCACTGTCTTCAGCTCACCGAACACCCTGTAATGATAAAATATATTTTTACAAATAATATTTGCCCATTTTTACTTTTACTGGAATGAAAGATTAACATCTCATATTTTCTGTGTTTGTGTGTCTTCAAAGTAGCAGTTCAAACACCCAACTCACAACTAAAGTCATCCGTAGATTCTATTTGTATGTATTTATATCTATCTTTCGCTTACTTGAACAATTCTTTAACTAAACTCAAAACTAAAGTCATCCCTAGATTCTATTTGTATGTATTTATATCTATCTTTCACTTACTTGAACAATTCTTTAACTTCCTTCACAGTAGCTTGAAATGGAATATTCCTGATAAGTATCTTAGATGTTAATTGCTTCTTCACCTCTTGTTTCTTCTTGGGTCCTTTGTCACTGGCACTCCTTTGAAGACAAGTTACTTATAAGAGTAATGTAATGTTAAAAGAATCCTACTAAAATACATTCAAACCTTATTTTCATATTAACCCTTCAAACGGTAAGGTTAAGGAGAATTACACCAATTGTTAGGGCAGATCTGTAACTTTAACCAGCTCTAACTTTCCTCCTAGGGGGTTAGAGTCGCATTTTTTTGCTAAAATCTGCCTCATTCAAATCTAAGAAAAGCCAGGAAGTTTCAGGTAAAAATACTAATTATGAAAAAAGTCATCAAAAATCCTGCCCCCTCCAAACAGTTTAAGAGTTAAATTGAAATATTATCACTTCGGTGAGTGTGTACATCCACCAAAAGCTGGAATACTTGTGGACAAACTAGCCCATTTTGGCATTAAAACTGTTGCATAAAATTGAATACGAAGTAAGAAACACCTACACAGTTGCACGATTTGATATCTTCAATTCCAAGGCATGTTCATCTAATTTTACATGTTGTAATTTCTTCAGTGACTTATCAGCAGATGCCTTAGTCTTGTACTCAACAAATCCATAGCCCATGGACAGGAATTTACCTGAAAGCAATTTTGAAATAATCATTATGTTCATTATGCAGACACATACATGTATGTTTCATGTATTAACTACCATTTTGTCCTTCCATCAAAATAATTTTAATCAAAACTAATATTTTTGCCATGATATATGTTATTTTAATAATTAAAAAGTCAATTTTTGAGCAATTACTTCAAGATGCAATTTTGAAGAAATGAAATGAGGAATTGATAATGTCCCTCAGAAAGACTAATCATGACCTCTCAGGATGCATCAAGGGTCAGGGTTGGATCATCATTGGGGCAAAAAGGGAAAGTAGGCAAATTCAATCATTTAACACATTGAAATAGAGATGACAGAAGTATATATCGTGTGTCATGTCTTCATCCAACAATGATTCTCCAGTTGATCTTAAATGTATGTAAATAAACTAAAATCCAATTTTTTGGTGAATGAATGTTGTTGATGTTAAAAAAACCTATGATGTCACAAGTAAATCTCATCACGCAAGTGTGACTTTTTAGGATGAAAGATGGCAATATCTTGCATGGGGTAAAGATGTATCTTTGTTAGCCATGAGAAATTATCTTATATCATACCTGGATTTTTCATATCCTTCTTCTTTGCAATTTTTACACCTTTTACAGGTCCACACTTCTCAAACACCTGAATAAACATAAATACATGGAGTGACCCATCTTCATAATTTTAACAAATGATTTACATAATAGACAAAAAAGCAGATTGAACATTACACATTTCAATATCTATTTCGAAAAGGACATATCAACCTGGGTTCACACCATAAACAAGTCATAATTTTTCACAAATTCTTTTTGTTTGAGAATACTTTTTAAATCATGTCATCCCAAGAGAATTCTTGCACTAAGCCATTGTGAGACAAAAATTTGTCACTCAGTGAATAAAAAAGCGAAGTAAAAACTTGATATGTATCCAACATTATACCTCTTTAAGGTCCACTTCCTTTGTATCAAAATTCAAGTTTTTAACAAACACTACACTTCCAGGTTCTGTCTCTGGTTCAGAGTCACTGGACTCTTCTTCTTTACTCTCCTAGAAAACATATATATGACATAGACATGCATGAGATATAAATATAAATATAGGATATAAACATACATATGGGTTATAGAACATACATAAGGAACAATTAATAAAACAACAAATAGACCTTTCCAATAAATCCTGCCACCTTTTTGTAGATGAAAGAAGCTATGATATATTGGCTAGACTGATGATGTCATTGGTTGTTGGCAGCAGTCTATCCAAGCAAAAATTTGGTGTTAACTTATTGCTAAGCTTGAAAATGAACAACCTATGACATCACCAATATTTAGCCAACATATCATAGGTGTGATGTATCGGGTGGCATGATTTGCTGGAAAGGTCTATTAGAAAAGAAAACCAAGAACATAATGAAAGATAAATCTTGTATTGTAAGTAAAATGGCATCCCTCAGAATAAATTCTCTCTCAAAGTATACCAAAGCATGGGGAGGGTCATTAATATCACCATGTTTCCTCCTATGATTAACATGTCGTCCATTATTTTATACTGAATATATGAATATAAATATTTTAAGTACCTTTTTGTCAGCCATTTCTTCATCTCTCATTTCAGTTTTCGATTCCTCCTTGACAGTCTCTTCTGCCTTTGGTTCCTTCTTGAGACTCTGTCCAAAAACATCTATGGGAGCCCATTCCAAGTACAGAGGGAGATGTTTAAACTGTAACCAAAGTATTATAATTCTTAGACAGTAATATTAACCATTATACCTTTGCCAAAAGTAAGGGTTTGCCTGAAACCATCGAAATAACTTGAAGCAGTAACCATAGCAAACACATCTATAGGGGAGGGGGATGCAGCTTTAACACAATTACAAAATTGAGTCTGATACCTTGGCCTGGTGTGTGTATGTAGCCATATTCTATTGAAACCAGAACAATGGCAACGCCAAAGCGTAGCGAATCCCATCGAACAGAAATGGCTGGCAATTTTACAAACGAAATATATAGCAAACATCATAAAACAACACACCAGAAAGGCCACCATTTTCAAGATGGTTGCTCACTAGCCAAGTTGTCATCAGAAGAAATAATATGCTTTTAAGTAGCCACCTATAAAATCTTTGAAAAATCGCATACATGTACTTGTAAAATAACACACATAAAAATGGTGGCCATTTTTCAAAATGGCTGACTACTCCCCAAAGTTTTATTAGACAATGTGCCATGCTTAAATTGTTCACATATCAAATATGAACAAAATCGCTCCACTACTTTTCGAGTTATAGTAAAAAATGTAAAAATGACAGCCATTTTTATAAAATGGCCGCCTACTTTCTGAAGTGTCATGAGACAGTGTGCAAGGCTCATGAGTATTCACATATCAAATATGAACAAAATCACTTCACTACTTTTCAAGTTATAGTAAAAAACGTAAAAATGGTGGCCATTTTTCAAAATGGCCACCTACTACCCAAAGTGTCATTAGACAGTGTGCCATAGTATTCACATATGAAATATGAAACATACCAAATATGAACAAAATCACTTCACTACTTTTCGAGTAAGAGTAAAATACGTTAAAATGGCGGCCATTTTTCAAAAAAATTTTCAAAATGGCCGCATTCTACCAAAAGTGTCATAGGACGGTGTGCCATGCTTATAGTATTCACATACCAAATATGAACAAAATAGCTCCACTACTTTTCGAGTTATAGTAAAATACGTTAAAATGGCGGCCATTTTTCAAATTGGACGCCTTCTACCAAAAGTGCCTTTAGACAATGTGCAATGCTTATAGTATTCACATACCAAATATGAACAAAATCGCTCCACTTCTTTTCGAGTTATAGCAAAAATCGTGAAATAACGAGTAAAGGCCGCCATTTTTCAAGATGGCTGCCATGTGCTTCTTTAATGTCTACATTTGTAGCTTTATTAATGTCCTTCATAATTTTTTTACATTTAAAACATATTGCTATTACAGTTTTACATATTGCACCTAAATAACTGTAAAATCGGCACTAAAATGGCCGCCATTTTGAATTGAGCGGCCATTTTTAAAAATCGGCTTTTGAGCAGAACTTCTACCTTCATAGGGCATGTGTGTATAAAATATGAACAAAATCGGGCAAACGGTATTTGAGTTATCGCCCGGACAGACAGACGTACGGACGGACGGAGGCGTTCCCTATATCCCTCCGAACTTCGTTCGATGGTATTTGAGTTATCGCCCGGACAGACGGACGTACGGACGGACGTACGGACGGACGGACGGATGGAGGCGTTCCCTTTATCCCTCCGAACTTCGTTCGATGGGATAATGAGTGTACCTTTGAATAGGCAAGGTTTGTAAAGCCAGCCCTAGCTTCAGACGGCTCTAAATACTCTATAATAGCAGTAACACCAGAAGGGGGCAGCACTAGTTTTCCTATTGTGCCATATTTGGAAAACAGCTCTTGTATCTCATTGGCTTTGGTTCCTGCAGGTAAATTCTTTGCCAGTATTGTTGTTTTACTTCGTGCTGCAGCTGCCTATAAAATTGAATGTCAACAAAACATTTATTCTCTGTCTCATTAAATCAACTTTAAAATTTTTTAATGCACAAACGTGTCTGTAAAAGGGTGTTTTCTAAAAGTTCACAGTTATGCCAGCAGAAGAGCCAACTTAGCCTATTAAACACAGTTGAAGTCAAAACCGATTTAGGAATTCAAATTAATATCATAAAATATATATATGGATACACACCTTCAGAATTATTTATGCAACCATCCTGCCCCTAAATGACCAAAGATTAATCAAGACATGTTTTTCAAATTCTTTATCTTTATAGCATTCCCTTTTTTTAGATGAAGGCTTGAACATTAACCTCCATCTTGAAGTAATGCTTAATTTCGGTTAAGCAGTTGTTTACCATATGAAGCTTTTAATATGTGATTCAAGGGGAGATTTCAATCAATTAAAGACCGAGAAAAAGTGTTCACATTGAAAGGTGTTTGGTTTAAAGGTGTTCAGATGTACAGGTTGTACTGTACATATATATAATAGGATTTACTTGTACTGATGCCCTTTTAGGGCCAAATGTATATCCAACATACAATTTTCATTAACAGTAAAAATAGCAATAAAGTAAAGAAAATAGGATTACATACTTCAAATGACATATAAAATATCACTTTGATACAAGAAGCCTCTCTCTTCCAATCATTAGATAATTTATTATGTCAGCAGATATTTTTAATATGTTCCCCTCACTCGTCAATAGAAAAATTGTCTTTAGATAATTTATCATGTCAGCCGATTCTTTTAATATGTTCCCCTCACTCGTCAATAGAAAAATTGTCTTTTGGTGGTCATTCATGTTTTTAAAATTACGACACAGGTTTTCAAGTTTTTCAATTATATTAGTTGTATTGGTGAAATATAGGAAAGCGAAAATGTGATGCTGTCACTTACCTGACTGAATGCATCCAGTTTCACTCCATGGTCAATGAGGAATTCTCTGGTCTCTGCGACAACTTGGGTCTCTCCTAGAGCCATTCGTACACCAAGACTCTGTCTGGATTCCTGGAATACATGTTAATTCTATTGTATATTGTAAACTGGCCCTGAACTTGCATTTGCCTAAATATCATATTCATATACCTAAGGTTTTAACATTGCAGTGATATTCGTTCTATTGGTCAATCAAATATATGTGACTAAAAATAAATAGCATTATTCCATAATACTACTGTATTCCCAGGGAAATATGAAGGAATAAAAATCGTATTGAATCGTATTACATGAACAAATCGTATTGTCCCCGGGAAAAAATCGTATTCGAGCGTATTACATGAAAAAATCGTATTGTCCCCGGGAAAAAAATCGTATTGGAACATATTAACCTATTTTCGGTTTCCTGGTTATTTTTTCCCGTTTTTTTGCATTATCCAAATGTAGCATTTTAGAGGGGTGAATTATGGAATAAATAGGTTATTTCTGGTCGGGATTGAATATGGGTTTTATTCCTCGGAAAATATGATATTGACCTTGGGTTATATGATATTGACACTCGGTCGCTGCGCTCCCTCGGTCAATATCATATTACCCTTCGGTCAATATCATGTTGTCCCTAGGAATAAAACCCATATTCAATCCCTCCCAGTAAATAACCTATATGTATTCCATCCACATGACCTATTTAATGCCCATGTTATGACAAAATGATGTCTTCATCAAAATCAGGCAAAATGTCTTCATTTTTTGTAGCATGTAAATGTAGTGCAAACATTCCACATTAAACAACAACATCACTCTCTTAACTAGCACTTCAAAAATACTCCTGAACAATATTTGAAATAGATAAAGTAGATCTTATATATGTAATGTAATCAATTGTTTCTTTTATTTTAAAGTTGTTCAGCAAACCTCCTTCACCAGAAAGGTTGCCCCAAAAGTAGGTTTACAATTTACAGAAAGAGATTATTGAATAACTGTAAACATAATTATGGACCACCCAATATTACTTTATTCGTTCTCTACTTACTGAATCAAGAATTTGACTTTTCTCAATGGAATATTTCTCAGCCATGACATCAGCTACGACATTCTCTCCCAGAAACAAAGTATTCCAGTTGTGAGAACTAAAGCATAAATATAAACAAGGCATTAACCAAAATATAACCACCAGCCATTTGTTATGGATATTTGCTGAAAGCCAATCATCATCTGTCAACAACCATCCACATTAGTTCTAATCTCATTAGTTCTAGAGTCAGCTGGATGAAAATGTAGCTTTTGTTATTACTTGATCCTGTTGATTTGATTGACACCTGAACCCATTTCTGGTAGAATTCCAAAAACAAAACCATTTTTCCATTTTTTCTCAATCTCATGCTATTATGGGGATCAGTTTAAAAAGACGATGATTTTCTTCTTTGAATTTTTCATGTCAAGTCTTATTTTCAAAACAAGATTTAGACAAATGTTGTATTAGACTATATGTGTCTTAGACTTTACCTGGAGGCTTGTTTCTTTTTTGCCAATTCCTGCTTTTTCTTGTACGACATGTTTTCTGAAACAAAAACAATGTGAGCTTGTCTCTGAATACATAAACTAAAACCAAACATGTATATAGGGAATGGTCGGGTCTTTATGGATTTGATCAAAGGTTGGAATGTTGGTGGGGTTTGCTTGTTTTCTCCTATCTTTTTTCTTATTGTTGTTTTAATCACTTCTTCCTAAGTTGACCACTCTCCAAAAACATTTACACCTCAGTCTGTATTAGACCCACATTTTATTTCTCTAGCAGTGATCTAGCAATGATCTAGTCATTCTATTTTGGAATGTTTGAGCAGTATTTTCCATTTTTGTTTATCTACAGACAGTTTAATTGTTACTTGGCTAAATGTTTTTTTTGTGTTAGTATCTGGTACTTCTCTTCAGGTGTTTTTAACCTTTATTTATTGCATTTTTGCAAATGCCTACCTGTGATTTCATTGTCATCTCTTTTACCCTTGCTGGGAAGTATATGAAGCATTCTGCCTTGGAAAATGGTACCGTCAAGCTCTGAAAATGCTTTCACTGCATGCTCCGGAATCATGAATGTCACGAAGGCGAATCCCATTACCTTTTTTGTGTGCTTGTCCACTGGGAGATGAGTTTCAGTGAGAGGACCTGGAAGCAAGCAAAAATAAACATCACACATCTCATACACTTGTCCAATACCATTTCCTCAAAAATATAATTTTTATATATATAATACTATATTTATTCAGATTAGCAAAATAGCATAGTTGCTAATTTAAATGCTTCTCAATTACATGATACAAATATAAATACAGAATTTAAATACATGCAGTTACAATAAAGAAAAAAAGCATGATACAATGTACTTGGGTAGAGAGGACATCTCAAGTTACACAAAAAATTAAAATCTCTTTGTACTTTTTATGAACTTGTGTAGTGCCAAAATCAAACGTTCGTTATCATCAACTGTTAAAAAATTTTCCCAAAGAGAATTGTGTCTTTGATAACATTTTGAGAGTTAAGGTTTATATCGGGATTGTTAGCACATACCTCATTTAATGTATAAAGCATATCGTTTCGTTGATCTGTAAAGTTTGGACATATCAGTAGGTTCCCTTAGGAAAAAACCCATGCTTTTACATGCGTGGCGAAAGAGGGCACATGTTCTTACTTTACTTCACTTTAGTTCGCTTCATTTTGCCCCATGTGTGGCGTGGCATGTTGTTGTAAAAACAAGAGATGGCACTCTTGATTTTACTCCACTTTTACACAGGGCAAACTGTGGCAGAGCATGAACAATGTGGCAAAATCATGTAACTCTTGTCTTGCTTTTACATGAATCCGCCATGTTTTTCCCACTGTGTTTAAGTATGGGGAATCGTGGTTACATGAATTAACATGAAATGTAGTACATTTTAGAGAAAATAGAGGGACTTACTTATGCTCCTTAATTCACCTGGTTAGATTTTTTTCATTCTATTTTTATTTTATTTTACATTTCTAGCATTAAGGAGCCCTAACCAAATAAACTATGAAAAGGCAGATTTTCTTTTGGAAACCAACATCTCGAGTTGATCATATTTTCATATTCTAAAACTGCATCCATGAACCTGTAGTTAAAGCTGTATATAGTAGAAAATTGAACCTGTAGTTGAAAGTTTTACAAGTAATTGAACCTATAGTTGAACCTGTAGTTGAAAGTTTTACATGTAACTGAATTGAACCTATAGTTGAACCCGTAGTTGAAAGTTTAACATGTAATTAAATAGAACCTATAGTTGAACCCGTAGTTGAGAGTTTAACATGTAATTGAATTGAAACTATAGTTAAACCCGTAGTTGAGAGTTTTACATGTTATTCAATGAACCTATAGTTGAACCCTTAGTTGAGATTTTTACATGTAATTGAATATAACCTATGGTTGAATCCGTAGTTGAGAGTTTAACATGTAATTGAATTGAAACTATAGTTAAACCCATAGTTGAGAGTTTTACATGTTATTCAATGAACCTATAATTGAATCTATAGTTTGTCAGTTTAGTTGAAAATAGAACCTATAGTTGAACCTGTCATGGTAGTTTAGAGTTTTACATTTAATTGAATAGAACCTATAGTTGAACCCGTAGTTGAGAGTTTTACATGTTATTCAATGAACCTATAATTGAACCTATAGTTTGTCAGTTTAGTTGAAAATAGAACCTTTAGTTGAACCCGTAGTTGAGAGTTTTACATGTTATTCAATGAACCTATAGTTGAACCGGTAGTTGAGATTTTTACATGTAATTGAATAGAACCTATAGTTGAACCCGTAGTTGAGAGTTTAACATGTAATTGAATTGAAACTATAGTTAAACCCACAGTTGAGAGTTTTACATGTTATTCAATGAACCTATAATTGAACCTATAGTTTGTCAGTTTAGTTGAAAATAGATCCTATATTTGAACCCGTAGTTTAGAGTTTCACATTTAATTGAATAGAACCTATAGTCTAACCCGTAGTTGAGAGTTTTACATGTTATTCAATGAACCTATAATTGAACCTATAGTTTGTCAGTTTAGTTGAAAATAGAACCTATAGTTTGTCAGTTTAGTTGAAAATAGAACCTATAGTTGAACCCGTAGTTTAGAGTTTTACATGTTATACAATGAACCTATAGTTGAACATTTTTACATGTTATTTAATGAGCTTATAGTTGAACCCGTAGTTGAGATTTTTACATGTATTTGAATAGAACCTATAGTTGAACCTGTAGTTGAGAGTTTAACACGTAATTGAATTGAACCTATAGTTGAACCCGTAGTTGAGAGTTTTACATGTAATTGAATTGAACCTATAGTTGAACCCGTAGTTTGAAGCTAAATTGTTATTTAATTGAACCTGTAGTCTGCCAGTTTAGTTGAAAATAGAATCCCCAGTTGAACCCGTAGTTGAGAGTTTTACATATAATTGAATTGAACCTATAGTTGAACCCGTAGTTGAGAGTTTTACATGTAATTGAATTGAACCTATAGTTGAACCCGTAGTTGAGGGTTTATATGTAATCGAATTGAACCTATAGTTGAACCCGTAGTTGAGGGTTTTACATGTAATCAGATTGAACCTATAGTTGAACCCATGGTTGAGGGTTTTACATGTAATTGAATGGAACATATAGTTGAACCTGTAGTTGTGAGTTAAACATATAATTGAATTGAACCTATAGTTAAACCCACATTTGAGGCCTTTACATGTATTTTGACAATTTAGTTGAAAATTGAACCTATAGTTTAAACCGTAGTTGAGAGTTTTACATATAATACAATTAAACCTATAGCTGATCCTGTACTTTGTCATTAAGTTGAAAATTTAATCTATAGTTGAACTGGTAGTTGATGGTTCTCCATATTACTCAATTGAATCTATAGTTGAACCCTTAGTTTGAAGCTAACTTTTTATTTAATTGAACCTGTAGTTTGCCAGTTTAGTTGAAAATAGAACCTATAGTTGAACCTGTAGTTGAGAGTTTTACATATAATTGAATTCAACCTATAGTTGAACCCGTAGTTGAGGGTTTTACATGTAATCGAATTGAACCTATAGTTGAACCCGTAGTTGAGGGTTTTACATGTAATCGAATTGAACCTATAGTTTAACCCGTAGTTGAGAGTTTTACATATAATCGAATTAAACCTATAGTTGAACCTGTACTTTTTCATTAATGTGAAAATTTAATCTATAGTTGAACTCGTAGTTTGAAGCTAACTTGTTATTTAATTGAACCTGTAGATTGTCAGTTTAGTTAAAATTTGAACCCGTTACTTGAGGGCTTTTACATGTTATTTAATTGAACCTATAGTTGAACCCGTAGTGTGAAATTTTCTAAATTTACCCTATATTGAACCCATGGCTTAGAGTATAATATATTATTCAGTTCATCCTTTGGTTTAAAGTTTCACATGTTATTAAATTGAACCTATAGTTGAACCCGTAGTTGAGAGTTTTACATATAATTGAATTGAAACTATAGTTGAACCTGTAGTTGAGAGTTTTCCATGTTATTCAATGAACCTATAGTTGGATAATATGTAGAACCATTAACTACGGGTTTAACTATAGGTTCAATTCGATTACATGTAAAACTCTCTCAACTACGGGTTCAACTATAGGTTCTGAGATTTTTACATGTAATTGAATAGAACCTATAGTTGAACCCGAAGTTGAGAGTTTAACATGTAATTGAATTGAAACTATAGTTAAACCCGTAGTTGAGAGTTTTACATGTTATTCAATGAATCTATATTTGAACCTATAGTTTGTCAGTTTAGTTGAAAATAGATCCTATATTTGAACCCGTAGTTTAGAGTTTTACATTTAATTGAATAGAACCTATAGTTGAACCCGTAGTTGATAGTTTTACATGTTATTCAATGAACCTATAATTGAACCTATAGTTTGTCAGTTTAGTTGAAAATAGAACCTATAGTTGAACTCGTAGTTTAGAGTTTTACATTTAACTGAATAGAACCTATAGTTGAACCCGTAGTTGAGAGTTTTACATGTTATTCAATGAACCTATAGTTGAACCCGTAGTTGAGATTTTTACATATAATTGAATAGAACCTATAGTTGAATCCGTAGTTGAGAGTTTAACATGTAATTGAATTGAAACTATAGTTAAACCTGTAGTTGAGAGTTTTACATATTATTCAATGAACTTATAATTGAACCTATAGTTTGTCAGTTTAGTTGAAAATAGAACCTATAGTTGAACCCGTAGTTGAGAGTTTTACATGTTATTCAATGAACCTATAGTTGAACCCGTAGTTGAGATTTTTACATGTAATTGAATAGAACCTATAGTTGAACCCGTAGTTGAGAGTTTAACATGTAATTGAATTGAAACTATAGTTAAACCCACAGTTGAGAGTTTTACATGTTATTCAATGAACCTTTAATTGAACCTATAGTTTGTCAGTTTAGTTGAAAATAGATCCTATATTTGAACCCGTAGTTTAGAGTTTTACATTTAATTGAATAGAACCTATAGTTGAACCTGTAGTTGAGAGTTTTACATGTTATTCAATGAACCTATAATTGAACCTATAGTTTGTCAGTTTAGTTGAAAATAGAACCTATAGTTGAACCCGTAGTTTAGAGTTTTACATTTAACTGAATAGAACCTATAGTTGAACCCGTAGTTGAGAGTTTTACATGTTATTTAATGAGCTTATAGTTGAACCCGTAGTTGAGATTTTTACATGTATTTGAATAGAACCTATAGTTGAACCTGTAGTTGAGAGTTTAACACGTAATTGAATTGAAACTATAGTTAAACCCGTAGTTGAGAGTTTTACATGTTATTCAATGAACCTATAATTGAACCTATAGTTTGTCTACATTTGCAGGTTAACATATTAATATGCCAAAATTTAAACAAAATATCCTACTGAGTTTGTTTACTTGTTTACTTCTCTTAATTGGTATTTGTTTATTTAACCGCCACACTTTGCCACGAAATGCCTGAACTTTTTCAGTTTTTGCTTTACTTTGCTCCATTTAGCCACAAGTTTCTTATATATTCTTCCCAATGTCCACATTTCACATGAAATATTGAGGACTAACTATGTATAATCAGAAAAAATATGTTGCAAGTGGTTTTTCTCCAAAT